TCAACATCTACCAAATCCTTCTATTCTAACAATTTTCTTTTGTTAGATTTTTCTTCGATATCAAATGCAACGGATTTTCAATTAAACCATCCGGCCACATCTTCCAGAATTCAGACATTGGAATGGAAACCGTTGCTTCCGGAATCATGGTTTAAGGAAAACTCATTTTCAGAGGCATTGTCACGTGAAGAGGTTTTTGTAAAAGAACGAAGAAGGTTAGCTTTACAGGGGATAACAAGCTTTCAATTTGATCCCTTGGGCAGTCAAATATTATTTAATTATGGTAGTGGGATCTACTTGGGATACGTCAATAAGGTGACTACGCGACACCATTATGGTTTTGATTTATTTGTAATGAATTAGAAGGAAACTGAATATCTTGTATATAATGTTGCTCAACAGAATGTTCAATTTTATTGTCATTTCGATGTAGAATGGTGAATTTTGTCCGCGTCCAATTACACCCAACATTTCGGCGTCAGCAATATATCCTGTGGGAATGACAAATTTTCCCATCGCACATTCACCACAGCACGGTGGAATATCGCCAATTTCTTCACCTTCTACCACCGACTCGTCTTCTACATCCGTGTACTGCTTCTCACCGAGTAACTCTTCACTACCAAGGTTAGACCCTAAATTGGGCGGTTGCAATCGAGACCTTATTGCTTTCATTCGGGACCACGACATATGGGTCACAACTCCAAACGGTTGTGAGACTCAATTAACCTTTCACAATGAGCTTGACCCTAATGGTACGGCTGCACTAAGTTGTGGTGTCGCAGAATTTGTGATGCAGGTATAAATCATTTCTGTTAATATTCTTTCCTTTTTTCATTATTATTATAATTATTAATAACAGTAATAGGGGGCTTATTGTAATCATTTCGTGTATCCCAAAGGAAGAGTTCTACCGCTACACGGGTTATTATTGGGGTCCGCCTTCTATTAAAACTTACATGAATGATCGTGAAAAAATATTATATTTACAAGTATCAGAGGCCATGGTGGACTTGGTGTCAATACCAAAACCGGGATCTCAAGGAGAAGTTGAAGAATACCGATATCCAAAGGCTGGTTAGTTGTGACAATTCTCATTGCAGGAACGACGTAAACTTGTAATTGCAAAAATTTGTGAAGGTACACATTAAAATTTACGATATTCTCATTCTACAGGTACACTAAATGCCGTTAGTGATCTGCAGATTGTCGAATTTACTCCGCGTTACAGTGAGGAGGTACAACACGTTTAAGTGATTTTAGTTGTCAAAATTTTTCATGAACTATTAAGTAATTCACACAACAGAATTATAAAAGGAAGTGACATATGGTCCCGTTCACAAACGACTTTGGGGTCCCGCTGCATTGGACAAGTTATTTCCATGGGTTGAATATATCGTTCGATTTGGATGGTGTC